TTAAAGGACAGATTCAACAAAATCTCGTTTCATGAAAACAATAATAAAAAAATTGTCTGAGAAGAGGACGATCCAACTGAATTGAGTTGTGAAATGAATTTGTTTCTGCAACCAACCCAATCACTCAATATAGACAGCAATTTTTCATTGTTTCTCTAGTGTAATACTTAAGTTCCAAAGTCTTTGAGCTACAATAAAGACCGGGGGAGTCTGGGGTGGAGTCTGGGCAGTTTTAGTGGCAGCTGGTCTAGTACCAGGTTTTTCCTCCCTTGATTACCATGACCAAAGTTTTTCTGAATCTTTATCGCTAAAAGGTAATTTGTAAATACACAAATTGTTCATGCGCGATCCATATTTGTAACCGTACATTCCAGCTAGATTATCGTAGGTTAATTATTATTTCCCCCATTTCGTCTTTGTCTTTTAGGAATTATTTAAGCACGATGAAGGGACCCTTTTAGGGGAAACGCAGAGGCACTTTAAAACTACAACACCAGTAGCATAATACGGGGGATAGTGACTTTTTGAAAGTGGACCATTCACGATCAAAGAAGGATTTCCAAGACTTAATTACGTAATAGGTAGAGCGGTGCGGAACGAGAAAAACAAGGTCAGCTGTGTTTTGTCAGGATTAGTGGAGGAAACGAGGGATTCAGTGAACATAGGAAAGTTGACACCTATGCGAATTGACTGGTTGCATTTTATCCCCTCCATAAGTATGGTTTAAAAGTTTGGTGTTCTGTAAAACGGCTTTGCGAGAGTTTTTTTTTGTTGTGCGACAAAAACTGCGAGAGGACCTTAGTTTTTGTTTCATGTCGGTCCTACGCTTAAAGGTCAGTTAGGCATAAATTACTTTCTCATTTGGGACAGCAATAACTTTACAAGTTAGCAAAAAGCTATAGTTCAAGATCTGAACTGGTAGCAGTCTCTTATGGATGAATTATAGAAACCGTGCTGAAAGACCTGAAAATACTGAAGCACGTACATTAGAGAATTTCCTCTTTCATTTCGAAAACGTCACTACTTCCTGGAAGTCGCAAAGCTCCTTGTGTAGTTCAAAGAAGACACCATAGTTCTAAGATAGCTACATGAGTTCAGAAAACAACGCAGGTATCGATGTATGTTTATTAGGTTAATGTACTAAGGGAGTGGAGAGTAGGAGTGGAGGGAGGTGTCTGCGCAAATCATCTCCATCTCTGTATTTTATTTTACTTAGACCTTCTTTTCATGTTACAGTTAGTCATATCAAGTGTCACTGTTGAAATCCATCATCCTTCGGGGCCCGTTTCATTTTTCCTGTTGGTGTGGTTCTGGGGTAATTTTCCGGTAAGAGCATCTCTTTGAGGACACAATAGTTCAATGACTATATAGTGGAACAACCATATATAGTGGAACAACCATAGCAAAAGTTCAAAAACTTTATTATATATTATTATGCTAATAATAATAATTTTATTCATGCCAATTTTATTTTTATATCACATTTAGACATTGCTCCTCCGACAGATGTACAGCCAGTGTCCTAGTTTGACCTTTTTGCTCCTGTGCTAGTAATCTGCTAACAACGTTTCAGTTGAAATATGCCTCTGCTTTTTTATGTTTATGGTTGGCCTTTTTTTTAGGTCCTGTTATTCAACTGTCTTCATCCATCCACTGTTTATAGCCTTGTCCTTTTTACAATTTGTTCAAATATAGGCAAGTAGGTGGGCCCTTCAGCCTTAGCTTTTAAGATTTACATTGTATTGTGTGATTTAGTTTGATAGAGTGCTCCGACTCCATTTTTTTTCTTTTAGGAATTATTTTTTATCTTACATTTAAGGATAAGGGGTAAGGGGTCTTTAATACATTTATTTATATTATTGCTTGCTAGGTGCTTCCTTGTTTGGAAATTCTTAGAGGATGGTGTGAAAAATCATACAGTGCATGATGCAGGAAGTGCTACTTAGACAAGGGATGTTACTTGGAGTCAGGAGTAGTAGATTGCTACATCAATAGTCAGTTAAAGAAGTGGAGGGGGATGGAGATGGAGAGGATAATACGGAGCGACATAAGACTATACACAATAGGAAAAATTTCTTAAGAATTAATTTCTTTTCGTTTTTCCACTGACTGTATAAGTATAATTTTTTCATTGACTGTATAATCATATTTAAAAAAAAAACAGGTTGTAACTGCTTTGTATTCTTTTCTCTTTAATGAACATGTTATTTTTATTAAATTTTCTTAAAAACTTTTCCTTTTCATTGAAAGTATATGTATACAAATTATTAACAAATTTTATCTGTTTTTTACTTTTATTTGCCAAGATGGTTTTCATGCTATTCATTAGCTTGAGCCCAAATATCGTTGGCCAGGCGGTCTAGCTGCCCAGTCATAAGTTGTAGCTGACCAGCCACCCGCTTGGCTTCGATGACTGCATCTTTAATTTTTTGGGGCCTTTCTTCGAAGTGTTTCAGTAACAAAAAAAAAACACCTAATTTGTTGCCATCTTAAACACACTATTAAAGTTATATTGTGATTCACAAAACTAGTTTAGTCTAACGACCTCGTCAGTTGATCGTCACAGTTTTCAAAATAACAGATACTCTACGTAGCAATGCGTGAAAAGTAACCCGCAGTCGTAATGAGGCTATCGGTTTACAACAGTCCTGGGATGCGGACGTAGTTCTGTTCACTTTTTGAGTTCATTAGATCATCTTCCCTCAGTTTACTAATCACAACCGACTCTTTGATTTGTCTTAACATCGTCAAATCCTGCTCTTCTCTCTGTATCGTAGATCTTCTTTTTTTCTTTTTCTATTGCAGCCAGAGCACCTTTAATTTCTATTTCATCCTCTGGGGACAACTGTGAAATGAAGGAACCCAACCATTTTATGTATTTACTACTATTAACTTATCTGGGTCTCTAAGATAATAAGATATGATGAGCTCGTCAGCACTTTAAGTTAACAAAATGTTGAAAGCCTTGTCTCATCAGGAACTCAGAAGGCAATCAAGGAAATAGGCCAAAATATATATAGCCGCAGGGACAACGGGACAGGCTTCGGAGACAAGGCCAATTTTCACACGTTTCGACACCATGATTGTGCCATTTGGCTTAGCTCTACGTTCCATTATGTTGTTTGAAGATGCCTTTTGCTTACTACAATGATCTGATACCTTAAAATTTGCGGCCTTTACGCTTTCTGCCACAGGAGTTTTGTGGGGGCTAGCCATTTTTAATTTCAGACTGCAAAGCATTCAGTAAGTACACTTAGATACATGGTTCCGATGAAAATATAGAAATTAGATTACTTTGCCTTGTCTTGGAAGCAAATTTTGTACCTCTTCTTTCCTTTGTTACTTGAACTGCCGGCGTTGAAAAGTTGGCGACGAGATTTCTTTGATTGCACTAGTTTATTAAAAAAAAAAAACGTTAGGAAAGCGTTCTTTCCACGAGCTTGCTATGCTAACGCAAGTCTGCATTGAGTGGCTAACGGCCAAAATGCCTTTCTCTACCAAAATGTGGCTGAAGAACGGTTACCGAAAACGATTGATTACCTCTGCTTTAAGAAAGGATTTATTACAGATAGATAGACGATATGCTAGGATATCTAAGTTAAGATATGAATTGTACGATTCGAGAAAGAGGATTGATTTGAACTATGTGGCACTTGGCGTTGTTATGGCATGCAAGGATGAAGGGCAGAGATTGGAGTTAGAGGAGAAAGAAAAATGGTGTGTGGATGAGGTGAAGAGGTTAAAAGCGATGGTAGAAACTGTTGTTGGGACTAAGACAAGGTTATCAACAGTGGAATACAAGCAAGGGAGGAGTCTTAGAGGTAGAGATTATTTATCGAAGGAAAGAATGAAGAGGTAGGTGAGAGGCGGCCTGGTGATTGTCTGAGATAAGAGAGACTGAGGTTTTTCACGAGGCTTGTGAGAAAACGGGATATGTTGCACGATAAGTGCTATATAGAAAAATAACCAAGGCAAGGGAGGATGAAGATATTATGGTGTGCTAGAGGGAGTGTCAGAGGGACTCGACTAATCTACATAATTTTACATCAAGAGAGGTTTCTTTGGAAGAACGCGAGATACCAAATTGCAGGGTGGCTTTGTACCTAGAAGATATGGTATTACTGGTGCAAGAGAGAGACAAAGAGAGGTGCAACAAACAGAACTTGCTTTATTGCAATATGTGGACCATTTCGCAGGTAGTAAAAGACCAAGACCAAAGACCAAGAAGAAGTGAAGGACAAATGTAAAATGAAAAGTGGTTTTGATATTGGGGGGAGGGGGGACACGACGATACTTTTTTCCATCCTAGAGTGGGATACTTAGAAAGAAGACTATTAATAAAGCCTTTAAATTAGTAGATTACTTCAAGGTACGTGCTGTGAAAAGCAGGAATTTATCTGAAACAAGTGAAAAAAGGCTGCAGGGTTTAAATTTACTCACTGAATTGTCTAGGGACGACAACTGTGTTACAAGAGAGCGATTAAAAACTTGGTTTGGTCTTTGAATACAAATTTATGGTAAAAGCAGGTCTATTATAGAAACTTAACCACTGATTTTTATCAAAGGTTTGGAACTATAGAGGATATAAATTTAGTAAAGGAAAAATGTCGGCTTTCTTTATCGTTAATACTTAGAAAATTCAGGCGGCATTTAACAAGAGAAGATTTTCTAAGCTTTAATTTAGGGGCTAATCTGGATGATTATATATTGCCTGGTTTGAAGCTGGCCTCTAAAGTGCGTAAATTGACAGGGAAAGCTGGTGTGGCGATGAAACTTTTGCTAACCGGGCTGCCTATTATTACTGGGTATGGATGGTGTGTAGGACATAGAAGTCTGGAGCTGAGACCAAAAGCATGATGGGATATGTAAAATCCCGCTGCTGTCAAAAGTATAAAATATTTACTGTACGGATTCTATTCGATCGACAAATAAAGTTAAAGGAGGGTGAAGAGAGCGTAACATTTGGTGACCCCGACGTGATTCAGTAAATACTGAAGGAAATGGGCAACGAAATCAAGCAAATTCAGGAGGCACAAATCGAGCTGAGAGCGGGGGTTTGTCGCCTCAGCGAAGCAGACCTTCGAGAACTATGCACCGAGTTGCACATTGAATTGAAGGAGAAAGCCACAGGCCGCCTCGCTCAAACTGTGACAAAACATTTAGATGCTGAGGAACTGGATATTAAGAAGTTGAAGGAGGTGAGAGTTGTGGTCGAGCAGAAGGGGGCAAAAGGATAGGCGACAAAGGTTAAAAGTGAACCTGATGACAAAGGAGCAGCTGCGATGCAAAAGTCAGACGCGAGAACCAGTGTGAATGTCCTTGAAGGAGTTTCTACCACGACAACGTTTAAAAAGGAGTTCAAAATTTCGGGGCAGATCGGAGATTCGAGTCAGAAAGACCGACACAGCTTTACTAGCTTGGCCCATCAAATTAACGCTGGATTGAATCATGGTTACAAAGAAGAGGAAGTAACAGAGGCGGTTATCCGTGGGGTGAATCCTGGAATGAGGATAAGGAGCTACCTAGAAGGTAAGCCTCATCTGACCTTAGCAAATTTACGCAAGATCTTTAGATCACGCTATCAGGAGAAAGAAGTGACTGAAATGTACCAGTTACTTAGTTCTGGGGTGCAAGAGGGTGGAGAGACCCCCAGGGACTTCTTGGTTCGCCTTCTCGACCTTAAACCGAAAGTACTATTTGCTTCACAAGAGGAAGATTCTGATTTGAAGTATGACGTCAAACTTGTTCAGTGTATGTTCTTACACTCATTGCTGACGGGTCTTCGAAGTGACGGTATTATATTGGAGTTGAAGCCATGCCTCCAAAACACTCAAGTTACAGATCAGGAACTGTTTGAAACTTGCCACAAGTACAAACCCTGTGCCACTTGTAGCTCAAGTAACCTCTACCAAGGAGACACCAACTCGGGGGTCACAAACCATCCACAGAAGCCAACAAAACCAAACCTTCTTACAGAATTACAGGAAATGAAAGTAGAGCTTACTGTCATTAGGGAGTCCATAGGGAACCAACATCGCACTACCACCCAGATCAATACAGGTTCATAAATGAAGAGAGGGCAAGACCCAGAGGGTGTGAAGATTGTCTAAGAGAAGGCTTTGGAGACCAATGCACCCATTGCTTTATTTGTGGGAGGAGTGGTCATTTCAGCTACAAGTGTCGGAGATCACAAGCTCAAAACTGGGCATACAGGGTGTTTCAAAAGTTCGTTCCGATTGTAAATTGTATTTTGCGCAAAGCATTTAATGCTTCTTTAGGCAAATGTAAACTGATTCAGGTAAGAAATTTATCTAAATAACCGTTCAAAGCAATTTTAAACTAAAATTTGAAAAAAATTATATATTTTTTTAATTTTTGCCCCAACTGTACACGTACGCGAGGTTTTTCCCACCATACTTTTCCTGTCCATTTTGTAGGTTTTCTATTTTGGTATTTTTTATAGTTTTCTTTCACTTTCTCTACTCCTTCATGAAAACTTGAAAACGAAGGCCTACACTGTTTGTGCTTGAGCTCATGCATCTATTTTTATGGTCTTTTGGCTACTCAGTCAAAAAAAAATTGTCAAATTTTTGAAGAAGTCTGAACGATGACCGAACAAGTGGTCAAAAGTAAAGACCTTAGAAGACAAACCAAAGAGTGGATGGCCGTTTTTTCACAAACTGTGTGAGAAATATCATCGAAAAAGCTGTAAGTATATGCGTAATAATTCCACAAAACCGAAAGGTAAAAAAAATTTCAACTTCACATTATCGATCAAAGTTAGGGATAAGTTACCAAAAAAAGTTGGAAAGCCTTGAAAAGAAAAAGGCGGTGCACACTTCATGCAAGAATGGTGTCAGAAGGATTTGCCAACTTTATACCAAAAGAGGACCGGCCGGCAAACTCATGTGATGTGAGCCCCCTAGATACCATGTGGATTATCGTAGACGAGACAACATACAAAGATCCAGCCCCAAAAACACTGGACGAGCTAAGACAGTGACTACGCTTCGCCTGGAAGAATTTGACTTTGGACACGCTTTGGGAGCTCGTACATTCTATACCTCACCGCTTATAAAATGTCAGAAAACATACAGGAAGACATTATGGTTACTAATATTTTAGTTATTCAATGCTACATGAATAATGAATAACATACTAAGTTTTACAAAAGGTTTTTTTAATAATTAGTGAAATTTAAGGGAATAAAAAATCGGAACTAACTTTTGAAACACCCTGTATTTCCAGGGAAACAAACTAGGGTTGCTCCCACATGACAGGAAGCAACCCTGAATATGCTGAAATAGTCCCAAACCTGTGTAAAGTGTGGCAGAATAGAAGGTGTTACCGCTCGACACCTTTGTTATTCACAATGCCATGCCAGCTGGTACTATTCGAAATTGTGGCAACAAGAACATTGGGGGGAGCATGAGGTACTTTGTGAAGCAATAAGAGAGATGGAAACACTCAACTAGTCGTCCGCGAAAGGGGAAGGAGAGTTGAAAATATCAGCTCCTGCCCACTTAACTCCACGCCACCATTCAAAGTTGACTAAGTTGGTAGGGAGAAGGAACATCGTAAGCTGTTTACTACAAGGGAAGAAGGTTGATGCCCCTTGGGACACGGGAGCTCAGGCTTGCATTATATCGAAGTCATGGAAGGGCGCCTATCTACCCGATGTGCCAGTGGGAGATATAAGTGAGTTATTGGGGGAACGTCAACTGGACCTGCAGGTTGTAAATGGTACTGCATTTTTGTATGATCGCTGGATTGAGCTGGTACAATTTCAGTTGCTTGGGGAATATGGACAGATAGAGACAATGACATTGCCCATTCTGGTGAGTAGGCAAGATAACCAAGAATATCGATGACAAACAACACTCTACAACACCGCTTATTAAAGATGCTTTTTGCTTGAATTATTTTGCCGCCATTACTTAAATTGGTCAAGCGTTCTGCACGATCTTAGAAATCTCGACAATTGCTACGTCGATCTTGAATATATTTTGTATAAAGTCGTCACTGCGAAATGTTGTGGATCACTATATGCTGTCACTTTCACACACTTTCCTTGACAAATCAACGTCGTGCAAATCCAAAAGTAATACCTCGGGTCTTTAAAGTTCATGCCCCAACAACAACACTATACATGTCACACACTTCGTTCTTTATCCACTAACCCCAGCTAAGCCTTCTTAATTCGATTCAGCCATTCTTGTTTTACAGTATTCGGCGACTTCGGTACTGCCACCGAAGACCTAAAACATTTTTACACCTAGTCCATTGCCAATTTACTTCATTGGGGACTATGGACGGCGAACATAGCTAGGTATGTTGCGGGTTCCATTAAATCTGACTGAGACACCAAAAAATGGTCATAGTTAAACCTGATTGCTTTAACTTACTAGCACCTTAATTTCTTCTTTCGTGGCCTCTATCTGACTGCCCAAAAAGTACTTAATTTAAAAAAAATAAAGGATATTACATGGCTGCTTGGGGATGTGAATTTTATCTTCGAGTACTGAAAGCATCTCTCACGAGTTGGCTTCGCTCACTCGTGAGAGATACTTTCAGCACGAGAAGATAAAATTCGTATCCCCAAGTGGCCATGTAATGTTCTGCTTATTTTTTTGATACTGATGAAATTCCTACATAATACACAACTTAAAGCTCATCTGCGGATGCATCTGCGGAGACTTTCACACGTGAAAGATAAAAATAGTATCTTCACTAAAAGAGTTTAGCCTGTTCCACAGGGTCCGCAGAAGTTCAGTTTGTCGTGAAAACTTCGAAAACTCTATTAAAAACGGGAAGCTCTCTTGTAATTGGCTAATCAAGTTAGTAACCATGGCGACACCAATATCCTCACAAGTGAAAGATAAAAATAGGGTCTTCACTGTGCGCGATGAAGATATGATTTTTTAATAAAAGGAAAAATCCTGGTATTTCATCAGTATCTAATAAAAATGAGAACTGGTCAATAATTACAGGGTTCGAACGGGTTTTTGGATTTAAACTTTTTGCTATTTTTTCTTAAGTTCAACTAAGGAAAAATCAATGTCGGGCGAATCCACATGTAATCGATGTTCTTTGATGCTCATGGAACCAAACAACAACACTATACATGTAATATACTTCGTTCTTTAATCCACAAATCCCAACAAAGCTGTTGAATACGAAGCAACCATTGCAATTTTATTAAAATTTTTGGCGACTAACGGACTGCTCACTGCGGTAGCACTACGCTTTCACGTACCTAGTCCATTTTAAAATGTGCAACGCTTGGAATGTGGCCAACTTCAATTTTGTAAAAAAAAATATTAAATTCCCTGTCCAAAGTAGCTACTTAATGTTAATTTTAAAAACTGTAAAATCGACGCAGTTCAAGAGTTTTAACCGACGTTTCAGCAATGCTGCCTTCTTAGGGGTACAAGACTGAATGAGACTATTTTTGTACCCTGAAAAAGACAGTATTGTTAATACGTCGGTTTAAACTCTTTTGAACAGCGTCGATTTTAGAATTTTTAAATCAACTTTCATTTTGGCCGAGCGCGACTTCGGGTTTAGTTTTGCAAAATTCAAGAAGGTGAACTAAATTTCCATAAAAGATGCACTGAAGCAAGATAAATCAAAATTTCAGGGGGGAATTTTTTAACGCACATACCCTAAAGAATTTAGACAAGACATTCCACGAACTGAATAAGCTGGCTGAATCAGTTGTGAAAGGGAATTTTGGCGCGCTTCGCAAGCGCACCAATTAGGCCATCCCAATAAAATGTTTCGTTTCCCATCGCCCTCCCTCTAGTAAAGGTGGGTCGGTCGGTCGGTCGGGCAAAAAAAAAAAAAGAATGAACACATGATTGCATATTAAATCTCACGTTTGGTCTGCAAGATATAATCAGATGGTAAAAGATGTATATTGACAGGACTATCAGATGTCTAAAAAGGCTACAAAAACAAAGTATCGATGATAATTTAAGACAATTGGTGTTAATAAGACAAGATCGTGTGCTTGTAAATTAAAGTACTTGCTTCTTTACAAGTGATTCTGGAGTTTTTTTTTTTTTTTTTTTACCTTTCCAAAAACATGGGTCGGTTGGGCGATGGGAAAAGAAGCAATATATAGATTTAGCCAGGGCCAAAAGCGAAGCTCTCGTTAATAAATTCGAAATTTAAATCAAACAATAAACTTGTAATCCACAGATCAGGGCACATTCATTTGACTTTTGAGGCAAAGGCTACGTGATTTTCGAGAAAAATAATTTGACAGTCCAAGAGTGAAACAAACTTTACATCGAGTTAATAGTCTTATTTGTACACCCAAAAACAGCAATCATGTTCGATCACAGTAGATTAGGCCTGGAAAACAAATAGACCTATTCGTGTATTGTATTTGCATTAGCTGTTGCATCAGAATGTGGCATTCACCAGTCTCTTCAACATTGCTCAGTTTGAGAGACTATCGATAATTATTGGACAACCCCGAAATATAATTTCAAGAAACACGCGCCACGATAGTCCTTGGTGGCGGCCAATTTACACGTTGCATTCCTCTGTCTAAAAAGGAGGCCAAAATAAAAAATGAGGCCGGATTTTTTGTGTTCGACAAGCTTACTTTACAAGTAAATCTTGGCGACCTTTTAAACATACTTTTTCTCATTACGTCTCAGGTAAACAGTACTATGAGGCCCTTTTTTACCATACAGTCCTCGGACAGAATTTGTTCTTTGTTGCCCTTTTTAAACCTATAATTCTGCAGTTTTTCACAATTTTGCAAGACAAATTGTACTCATTCAATATCCAGGGCGATCAAAGCACGCGCTTCATTGCACAACAAATTATAGCATAATTGACCACATTATAAAACGTTTTCATGAAGAGAATTCCATAATGCCGGGACTTTTCAGTTAGAAAATCTGTTCCTATGTGATATGCAGGGTAATAATTATGGGCTTGTAGTGAAAACGACAAAAAATTCCCAAAATCACCTTTTCGGTCAGCCGGACGGGTTCTCACTTTTGACAGGCACCAAATTTGCAGTACCATTAACAGAGTTACCATTTACGCCTCAACATCATAGAGAATTTGTTATGTTTAGGTTTGATTTCCCTTATATATAAAATTGTTTATGGTTTTGTTATGTATAATCTTTAAAAGCGAGTGATATTTACGCGCGGCGTTTTGAGTATCCTGCATGCGATGTTTTGCTCGACTGGAAACAACCAGTGCAGCGATAAAAATTGCGAGAGGGACTCCTAACAATAAATGAAATAAATATAATTCGGTGGAACATGTACAGAGACAATAATTTTCATTCACGAAGACAAGTCTTTAGAGTAAAGTGTCTCTGAAAATCATGAGTCAAGTAAGCATAAGCCTATTTATGTTGTTTTAATCCGGCTTCCCGGTGTTTGCTCTTTTTCAAGATGAACTCAAGGCAAGAAAATCGCTCAGAGCTTTCCGTTTAAAGCCAAAATCATAACTAAATATTCTTCGGAACCTTTTCTTTGAATTTGCGGTCAAAAAATGTCTAAAGGCTTTTTAAACCTGATACTATTATAGGTTAGATCATTCCCACTCGCGAATGAACTTTTAAGTTAAAAGCCGCGTAAACCATACGCTCGACTTCAGGAAACCGAAAAAAAAAAAAAGACAATAATTGATCAGGCTTACCAGTCAAGATGCTGCTTCTGAAGGTCATCAAGTGTTCCAGAATCGCTTTAGACTTTTCAACCGTCTTACGCCTCAAGCAAGGGCAAGTGAGTAAGCTCATTTTTGAAAACGATGCCATCCGAAATCGGATTTCCAATGACTTTGAGAAGCGGTGCATTTGTCAACAAAAAGCGCAATAAACAAACCAGCCATGAATTACAGAACAAACTTGATAGCAGCTGTATTTCATTTTGTAAATCAAGTAGAAAAAGACAGTTTAAAACATCACAAAACTCTGTCAGCTTCAGCTATCAGAAAGCTAGTTTTCAGACGCTGCAAATTGACGCTGCGTAAATTTTCCGCATGAACTCACCCGTCAAATTTTGACGAATCAGAACATAAAAATTGGACGTAGAGCGTGATCAACCCGTGACAGTGAGAAAAGTCAATAACGATTGCCTTCCCTGCATGTAAAAGCCGATTGAATTTTCGCGTCCCAGGTCAGTGGGGAATAAAAATTTTAAACGTGCGGCTCATGAAAACGACTTATTTCATATGCATTTTAAAAAAATAAACTTGAGCCTACGATCATTTGAAAAGTAGCAAATTGTCAGCGGATAACTTCAAAAAACACTCTAACTCAGTGGGTGGATACCTGAGCCCGCGATACGGTAAGGCGATACCGGTCAGCAGAAACGCTATTTTGACAGCTGTCAATTAATCAAAACATGGATGTACAATATCAGGTTGCAGGCTCCCAAACTAGCTAGAAAGTGTAAGATTAAACACTGGTATGCCTTTGGTGCGGACGGACGGAAGGTCGGGTGGTCGGTGTACGGCACGTTATTGCCGAATTTTCGAGGATGGATAGATTTTCTAAGCTATGGAGCTTTGAATTGAGCCCGTGATCAAATAAAATATCAGCGGAAAACTTTAAAAACTACGTGACCTCAATGGATAGAAAAATGAGCCCGCGATAAAGTCAGGTGATGATGGTCAGCGTATACTCTAGTTTGACAGCTGTCAATTAACCTCCATTAGAATGGCAAATATTCGAATTAACAGACTACGAGTGTAAGACATATCAGTCCGGCTTGTAGTGGAAAATGCCAGATCGTGTACCTGAGCGAACCTGAGCCCACGTTATTAGTTTTCTGATAGTGGTCTGCCCATGTCCCATTTTGACAGCTGTCAATTGACCTTAATTTGATATAACTTTAAACGACTGTCAGCCGAATGACAGCCCTGCCCTGTAGTTTCGTTTTTATGTTGAATTGGTAAGTGTGACATATTATATCACCTTATATGTAGGGGCAAAACGACTGGTCTTTCATCTGAGTCCGCGAGATAGTCATGTGATAATTGTCAGCGTATGTCTGATTTTGACAGCTGTCAATATACTCGTACTCATGCGGATGGCTTACATAACTGAAAGGCCTTAGTCAAGTTGTGCAAGATCTATTGTGACATTTGACATCGGCTTACATGAAGTGTGTGTACGGGTGGGCGTACGCTACGTCATAACCGAATTTTCTCGGATGGATAGTTTACCAAGTTTTGTTACCCATGGTGCTCCGCTGCGCGCGCTTCGCGCGCGAGAGCTCCGCTATTAAATTGGAATGGCCTTACTACAGGATCGGCGAGATTATGTCCTATGCTTCAACCAAGCATGGGTCGCGCAAAGACCGCAATTATTCACCGTCTTAGTCCAAAAATGAGCATAGTACATCCGTGGATGATTTGCTTCGATCTTCCCATGCCTCATGAGGTCTTTGATCTCTTGAGCATGGAGATTCTTGGTCTGACAAAATTTGGGATAGATACACCAGGTTCAGTGACTATAACATTTTCAAACCTGAGAAGAATATCTTATCTCTTCGACAAGTTCCAAGATTGTGGTGGGTTTAGAAAGCAACTTGGTAAAGGAAAAGGAGAGGCAAAGCTGATTGTGAACTCCGAGAAGAAGGAAAGAATGGTCCACAATGCTAAAGAGCAGATTTTGAGAGCAAAATTTTTTTTATGGATACTGGAATTCGTATGGGATTAGTCAGGATTAGTCAACAATGGATCAAGGATGCATGGTTGAATCATACGGTAACGAGTATTTTCCTAATACCTCATTCATTGACAAAAACCTGTCAACCTTTGTGGTTGGACGATAACAAAAAAGAGAGAATGCCTACCTTGGATCATTGCAATTATTCCTTATTTTTCGCAATTTTTTTGACAAACCCCAGAAATTGCAGAAATCGCAGTTTTTGCTGGGCACCCTTCTACCTCCTGTAACACTTGACTTAATTAATTTTAGCAAATACCACGATTTCTCCAATTTTTTGCAATTTTTGGAGAAATTGCAGAAATCGCAGTTTTTGCTGGGCACCCTTGAACCTCCTCTAACACTTGTTGTAATCAATTTTACCAAAAACTGCGATTTCTCCAATTTTAAGCAATTTTTGGAGAAATCGCAGTTTTTGCTGGACACCCTTCTACCTCCTTTACCACTTGACTTAATTATTTTTTTTTAAAGTGCGGTTTGTCCAATTTTTCACAATTTTTGGAGGAATCGCAGAAATTGCAGAAATCGCACTTTTTGCTGGACACCCTTGTACCTTCTGTAACACTTGACTTAATTCATCATAAGCTAGAGGCCCGATTTTATTGCTCACTCCAGGAGACCCTTTCCATGGTAACGAACGAGCTTTGCGGTCAGTAGGCTTTTGTACATTATGCTTTTGTTTCCCCACTAAAATGCTCCACCTTAATGCTCCATTTTTCCCACTAAAATGCTCGGTCTCCCCAAAAAAGTTACTAAAATGCTCGGATAATGCTCATTATACAAACGATTTTTTAAAATTGATTTCAAAGTTTCCACTTACAAAAACGTGCAAGTGTTGGCAGTAACAACGACAACGTATACAAGTTCATACATACAGCCAAAAAAAACAGCTGTATTAGGTTTTTTGTGAATTTTGAATTTTAGTCTTCATTTTCTTTAAAAAAGCAGGAGCTCATGGGGCATGGGTTACTGAAAAAAGTTAATTTCTATTTTATTTTCTCGGAAAAAATTAATTTTCCAGGGAAAATGCCGCTAAAATGCTCGAATAATGCTCAATGCTTTTGCCTCACTAAAATGCTCGAAAAAATGCTAGCATAATGTACAAAAGCCTAGCGGTCACGCGTTCAATGCGGTAATTAGTTTTCACACATTCCTTTGCACACGTGACGTGTGTACTAGTTGATGCTGTGGAGAAGAAGAAGCAGACTTATTAGTTAATTTGTTGCAGAGATAAATTGGATCAGGCATTTTTTGGTAAAAACTTGAATTGGCGCCAGATATGAATTCGCATAAGCTTACTCTCAGGAAGATCGAGTCACTTGCGGAGGCAAGCTTTCACAATGCCCTTCTTGCGGTGATCCTCGTCACTACGATGTTATTTCGCGTTTTCTCTCGATCGTTAGATAGAGAAAAGACATGGTACGCGTTGAATGATCGTTTGTGTGGTAAGCAGCCGAGAAAATTCAGCGAGGGTTCTTTCTTTCAGCTATTTCCCGATGAATTTCTTCGTGTTAATTTTGCTGATCTGCACGATGAAAAGGACTGCCCTGTCTCAAGCCATTGGTTCAATAAGCTAAATGGACAAAAATCTTCTGACAAAGTTTACGTTGGAAGTACATTTGCAGTAGTTGCCTGTAATTTAGTCCTTAGGAACCCGTCAGAATCGGAATTTCTTCGGTCAGAAGCCTTCTTGTCGCTGAAGAGGACCATCAACGAGCATGTTTTGAAAGAATCGGACATCGATCAGGGGCACCCAACGAGGATATAGTTCAAAACCACTTAACATAGCATTGTTGGACGTATTTTAGTATTCAAACGGTAGATATATCCTAGGAGAGGCAGGCAAGCAGAAATTTTACAACAAATGCTCCGAAAATTCTAGATCTCAAATCGTCTTCTGAACAGATATTTTCTCGAAAATTGCCGTTGGGTGCCCCTGATCGATCACAGGCCCGCTCAGGATGTATGCTGCGTTAGTACAGACAGAGATTCTAAAAGTGATGAAGGAGAAACTCCCCAAGAATCGAAAGGGGAGAAATTATCGTTAGAAAGCAGCTTTCCAGGAAGCCCTTGACCATGTTGACACGTCTTCTTCAAGTTGCTGTGATGACTCCTTGCAATCTGTAGGATCTGTATCGTCAATTTCTTCGTTATTAAATGGAAAGTTTGGCTCTGCGTCTAAGAAGAGAAAGATCAGACAAAAGGTGGAAGCTGTAATGCGAAGCGTCGAAGCTGTATGTTTAGAGCAGGGAGAAACCTTGGGGACTTTGTTGCACAAAGCTGCCTGTTTCAGCGTAAGAAAACTTTCAATGGGATCAATGGGCAGGAGCTCATTTGGCATGTGTTTAGTGAAGTAGTGAGCGAGCTGGGAGTTGGAAAGGCATTCTTCGAGCTATACCTGAGGAGCTGTGGAACCAGCGTGTACAAATGATGTCTGTACCAGATTGGATGTTGCTTCTTTGTAAGCTGGAATCAACAATATCTGACGATTCCTGGCAGATGATCTTAAATAAGACTCGACTTGGAGAAAGCGGGGTGAGTTAGCCACTGACTATTTTTTGTGTTGTTGTTGCTGTTGTTTTCTTTAAGCTTACCAGAACTATCAAGTAATCCCCCTAACCATAAATGAATTGTGGTCTATTCCATTCAAATATCCACTCCCATTCCCCCCCACTATGGACAAGATTTTCTGATGGGGGGGAGGGGGGGGGGGCGGCTTTGAAAGTCATTTCCGAGGGGATTGACTGTGACGGCACCTCTGATCTTTGGAATATTTCTGGGGGGTGTAAGAAAAATTGGCTATTTCTGTGGGAGGGGGGGGGG